AATTCGAAACAATCATTACTTGTCACTCAACAAGTAATGTTGAAAGTCGAGAGCCAAGACCTGTTTATGGTTATTGAATTGTAGCAAATCGAACATAGTACCCAATAATAATTAATATTTTAGGGTTATTTGATAATTTTCCCTAAACGTGTTGAATATATAACAAAGAAATTCCTTTAAAACGATCTATAAGCCATTTTTTTAGTTTCAGAAACAAACACTGCTAAATTCACTTGGTACTACTTGCTTTATCTTGCCATCGTTGTTAATGACTGCAAATGGTCAATCTCTTTTTGACATATGTGCCTCGATATTGACTTAAGTCACAAGCTTTATAGGCAAAGATGGATGGTGGCGAGCAGTGAAATCTAGGACGCACATCTCGTCCTATTCACTACATTGCACGGGCAAGTGGCTAACAGGACTTAGTAGGTAAATGAATAACGCGATGACGTTTGAAGTGAACGGTAATGGGTTCAAGTGCCGAAGTGCACATCAACTCTGGAATACAGGCACATCCAGATGACGAGTCCCAAACAGGTAAAAACGCGCGTCTTGTATCCCACTGTTAGTATTGGATTAAACCATGATCCACTAAATTTCGATTGAAATTAATTTGTTTACTTCATAAAAAATATTGTCAATCAAATGATGTTTTTATGCTAAAGAAAGTTGGTGGTTTTCCGTTAGGTTATACAACAATTTATTATAGGATTTCTAACGTTTTCATATACCTCTAACAAAAAAACACCATTGAAAACATTCATTTTAAATGAAATTTTGAAATTTTGATTACGACATCACCTAAAATCGGTGAACGGAACGAAGGATCAGCAACACAATGACAAGACAATCTAAACTATCCCGATACGTCACATTAATGCTAAATAAAGAGAGAAGATCTGGTTCAGATGAGGGAAAGATATATTCCACAAGCAGACAGAAGCATGAATAAAACAAGCAAACAAATCATGCGTATATAAAGAGTAATAAAAGGTTTTCGGGAAATGTCATAAAATAGTGTATTAAAAGAAACAACGAACCAAAGACATTTAGGACCATTCCAAGTGAGAAATCTAATCTGAAGGTAAAAATGGGTGCTTTTGGCAGAAAAAACTAAACGAGAAATCCAAATTTCCAAAATAAAACTATAAAAATACCACGTTTACCAAATGATTTCTAGGGATCCAGCATCCTAAATAAAAAGGGAATTCCACTCAACTTACTTTCCAATATATCATTTAACTCTATTCATGGCTGACTAGGAAAAATATACAACCGATAAAATTTAATCGTACAAAAATATTTATTGAGGAAGTAAAACAAATTGTTACACAAAACGGAAGTTCAGTGCGTGTGATTAATTTATAGATACATCATTAGCTAAAATAATCAAAGTAAGAGAAATGAATTACTATTAATTCATTTGTCTAATTAGAATTGTAAAAAAATATATCTTAAAGCATAATATCCATTAAAGATCGGTGCGATTTCTGAATATCATGAAAATAAAGAGAACATAGAACAGATTCTCTCAATCTTTAGCTTTTACAGCAGATGTAATCCATATTGGCGAACCAGTCATAATCGAGATAGCTGCTTTTATGTTTTTGCATAAGATTTAAAACACGTTTACAGATAGCTTCAACACACTAACATCAAAACTTATCATCAACAATCATTGAGAGGAAAACTATTTTCTAAGTAATCTCAACTGTTGTGTATACACGTGTCATCGCCGTTCCATAAGAATTAACGGTGTTGTCTCCTGGATCTTACCGTTTATACTTGACAATCAGAAACTACTGCGATTCCATGATCTTAATGGTTACACATAGAAACCGGAACCACGGTAATTACCACTACGAAAGTTTATACTGAATTGACACAAGAAACATTGACCCTGAAACATCACACTGAACAAAGTTCACACCTCTCAATCTGGCCAAAATTCATAATGAATTAATACAGAAATGTTGGTCTAAACAATGTCAACTTTTTATTTTGTCACATCATAAACTATTTCAACAGACTGCGGAAATATGAAAAAATATTAATTTGACAACACAGATGAAAGACGAAGCTCAGAAAGTCTAAAGAGACACGAGATATTTTGATGATTCTTTGCATTATTTACCTAAAGTATCTGCAATATAAAGATTTTAAACTAATACTGATTGAAAAATTTGAAATTTTTTTTGTAACTAAACATTTCTTAGCATTATAGGCAAAGATGGATGGTGCCTAATAGTGGAAGGCAGCAGGTACATTTCGCCTTTTTTTGAGACTTGTCAGTTGGATGTTCCTGCGACCCATACTTGATGTTCCCTCTGAGACTGGAACTCAATCCCGTTCAGTCCAAACACCATCGCGTGATCTGGACTCAGTAGCTAAGAGATTAACGTGATGGTGTCTGGTGCAATCGGTATTGGGTTCGAGTCCTGGAATGAACATCAACTATAGGATGTAGGGACATTCAGCTGACGAATCCCGAAATAGGACAAAAAACGCGTCTTGGATTCCAATGCTAGCCACTATTATCTCCACCCATAATACTTGTGGCGTAAGACAATATCGAGGTGATCCGAACAAGATGCACATATTTCAATAAGAGATTGATTAAGTGTAGTCCGAAACATCAATGAGAGGATTTCACCAACCAATACAAAAATGAATTATTTAGCAATCAGATAGTAGCATTGCCTTTTCTCATTACTTATACTTATTCATTATTGTTTTAAAAAATTAGAATTTTTTTTTGTAACAAGAACGGTAACTTTTATTCATCTGTGAAAAGTTCAATCATAAATATATTCCATTCAACCTTTTTAATTAGTAACTATAATGATGTATCTAAATAAACTGTTCATTTATTTTTATTACCTAATTGTAACCTTATTTAAAATTTTTTACTTTCATTCATGCATATAAAATATGAATTAGGAAATAAACTTTTAAGATTGTTAAATATACATCAGACAATTTTAGTTATATATACAACTATTATTTGATTGAATAAAATAAAATAGGAACCATATTTATCTACTTCATTAATTCATTTAACTTGGAAGTGTGTATATAATATGTATAGTCAGTTTATACTCGGATTTCATGTTGTTTAATTTAAAAATAAATTAGATAATAAATAGAAGTTAAAAACGATTAAAAAATATAATTAGTTCACAAGTTTATAGACTATTGATTTAAACAATAATAGAAAAGAAAGAAGAGGATGAAGAAAACAGTAAAGAATACATTTTTTAGTGTTCAAAAAGTAAGATTTTCGTAATTCATTGAGATCATGAACTGACTGATGTTAAACCTGGAAGCACTAGACAGCCATTTCGTCCTATTGTGGTATTCCACAGTAGTTCATGACTTCAGTTAAAAACTTAATAATCTCCACAATCCCTATACCGATAATTACCATATTCTCACTAGTGACTAGGTTCGTGAGGGAATTCTCGGAGTTCTAGGGAGAAGCCGTGACCACTGGGGCTAATCCGTGCCGGGTAGAGATAAGTATCTACCTCAGTACAATGGAAGATGGTCGTGCAATTTTGTGGATTGGTTGAGGTTAGACATTAACACCGTTGGATGTTGACTCAGTGGTCCAGTAGGTTAAGCGTTTGCGCGCGAGACTGAAGGCCCTGTGTTGGAATCCCGCGATCGAGATCGTGGATACGCACTGCTGAGGAGTCTCACAATAGGACGAAACGGCCGTCTATTGCTTCCAGGTTTTCAGTGGTGGTCTAATATCAATCAGTTTATGGTCTCAATCAAAAACCTAATAATGTCTACAACCCTATGTTGAAAATAATCGTAATTTGGGCTGCAAACAACTAACAGTTTTGTCAAACAACATGTATTCATTCATTTTCATGTCTGAAATTTTCATTCCAGTAGTTACTGGCATAATTTCTATTCTATTGACTCTATTAACTTAATTCTAGACAATTATTTTAATATTTGATTCTAAACGATCATCGATAACGTCACTGAAAATTCCGCTGGTCTACAATTAATTTTTTTAAGTTATTTTCTGTAACCGATATATTGCAGTGAAAAAATGTATACGTCAACAATGGTATCAGCTTCTAGGCTTCCAATAAATAAATAGTATTATATTGTCAATAAACTGATCTTGGTAAAATAATTATCGAAAACCAAAAAGCACTGAGAATCCGTTTCGTCCTAGCTAGGTACTTCCCAGCAGTGCATATCCACAACCCCACCTGAGCTCGAACTTAGAACCACGATTTCCTGTGGAGATCACCTGACATTTAAACCGTTTGGCAAGCATCTAATCTTTAATGTATTTAACTTAATTTAGTCCATGATATTGTGAAACAATCTTTCATAGTCGTCAGTGAGTAATTGCTTCGGACTCGATATGTACAAACGTCACTGATCACGACTTCTCACTACGACTCCTGAAATTATTCCCTGTAAATAATTCACATATGCGAAAATTTCTATTGTTACTATCATTACTATCATAATCACGATTATCATTACTAATACTATTATTACTATTACTATGTAAGGAGATGGTTGTGCGATATCGTGGATTAATTGGCTAGATAAGTAAACAATTGGATGTCGACTAAGTGATCTAAACTTTTTATGCTCACTACATGACCTATATATCTTCGGTTCAATCATAGATAGAGTTGTAGAAAAATACAAATGGAGAGTCTTATAAAAATATAACCATCTTTACAGTGACTCTAGGTGTTCAGTGGTTATTTAACTAAAACTAACCTATAATATAAATTGTGTAATTTAACTATCACTATAGACTTCCTATTTAAATAATAAGTAGTATTATTATTACCATTAATCAAATTGTATATCCGCTAAACTTTGGTTTAACTCAAGAATAATTTAGTCAAATTCAAATGAATTGAATATTCTATGAAATTATTAAATGATCATTTGATACTCTTGTATAATAAAATGTAATTGTAATACAAAATTTTACAGTGAAATTTACTTACTTGGTAATTTGTTTGAATATATTAAATGTTTCTTTCAATTGTTGAAGATTAACAATCTTTATTCAAAAAAGGAAAAGAATATTAAAAAACAATCTACATTCAATGTTCACTGTAATAAATTAAGTAATAATGAGAAAATAATATGAATTTCTAGTTAATTATCTCTTTACAGGAATTAGTTCAAACTCTCATTTAGATGGTGGTTTAAGGTAGTCAACAGGAAATTCTGAACTTAGGTTCCGTGTTGTTTGACATTTGTTAACAAAGTATATCTGACATCTCAAGGAATTGATGCTCCATGGCAGATATACTCGTCTGTCATTCAGCTTCATAAACAAATATATTACCATTGAAGCATTTGGGACAATTAAAATATTTTATAGCTAGAAATATTCAACACTAAACTTAAAATGTATTGATTTGCCCCTTACCCCTTCCCCACACACAAAATTACATGTTAACCAAACGAAATTAATTATAAGTTAGTTGAAAACTTTGAAATTTCACTAAAAAAAGATAATAAAAAACTTTTTATCACTAATTACTTTTCATCAATAAAACATAAGTACAACTTGCAAGATCTCGACAATAAAAGTAATACATTAGTAATCAAGGTTTTCATTTTATTTTAGTATGGGATTGTGAAAATTATTGAATTCCATTGAAATCATGATTCTACCTTAGTGGTCTAGTAGGTAAGTGTTTGACTGCGAGACCAAATGTCCTGGATTTGATTTCCACGCATAGGATGGATGCAAACTGCTGACGAGTCTCGTACAAAGAAAAAACGACCATCCAGTGCTTTCATGTTTTTATTAGTGCTCTAACTAAGATCAGTCCATGATTTCAATGAAATCAAATTATTAGTAAATAAAAGAATTCTATTTTGGTTTAGGTGAGTACAAATTTGTTGAAAATCGAATTATAACTTGATAAATTTTTTAACAGAGCAGTTGTCAAGAATCGAATATACACCACCTTACGTTGATAACAGTGGGAAATGATATTTTCTGTACAGTTTCAAGATCTAAAATAAATTCATTGCTTTAATTTTGAAAACTCGTGTCCACTCAGCTATTGCATAACGTTATGGAGGTAATTAAATTCTGAGTTATAGAATAAGGACTGATTTTAGTTATACAACCACTACAAACTAGAAAGCTCGGGACAGTTGTTTTATTCCAGTATATAACTTCTCAGCAGTGAACATCGGCAACCAGTCCATGGATTAAGCCCAGTAACTTCAGGCCTAGTATCAGTGGCCCAATTTTTAGATTACTGACTTAACATCTTATGATCTGTGTTTTACACTTTCGCAATATTGTTCTACTATAATCCATTGTTAATGGTTATATTTGTCTCATTACCGATGCATTTGAATTCCACTGGTCACTGTTTCTCATTAGAACTCCATGAAGTATCACACCAACTTAGCTGATCTTAAGTAAATAATAATTTTACCATGGAGATTTATTGTTAAAAAGGTCTGATTATCATAGTAGTTGCCGTATTGTAACTTTAAGAATACGGAAATTTCATAATAATCAGTAGCACCCATAGTTTTAACTCCTTTACAATATCGGCTTCTATTGTACTCTATTATAGACCCTGTGAGAATAAATCAGCTTATGGTGTAATGTTACCTTTCATACCCTACAAATTAACATTAAATTTAAATTCTAATACACTCTTTCATCATTTATCAGTCGGTATACAAGAAAAGTCCCTGGTCATATCTACTAATAACTAATGCTCAAGCGAATGTTTAAAAACTGCGCTTTATTCCCTTAGATATCATAAGTTTTGTTTAAATATACGTGAGTTTATAGGCTAGTATACCTAAAGCATCTAAATGTATCATAATAAATATGATAGAGACTAAAGGAACAATAATGGACAAATAAATAGAACAATGATTCAAACTGATATCATTTGTACAAAGTTTTAAAAATATGAATATGAAAAAATACAAACTATAAGATACATAAATACAATATGAAAGTATAAAGAAAAGAGAAAAAAAATGAACAAGGTTTTGCACTTTAAATATCATTTGACTGTTAATAATGATTGATTTTAAACTATTACCTAATTTGTTCAATGTCTAATCTTTTTTAACTTCTTATGTCATAGGTAATAGTTAAAAGTTTCATTGATTTTAATCATTTCCTTTATTTTATTCATCCTTCAAACTTCTTTTAAAACTTAATCAACTCTATAATCTTATAAATAATTTTTGGTAATAAATTACATTAATCAATAATGTGTGTGTGTATGAAGCGGTTACAATTTCAGTTAATCTGAGAACCGAACAAAAACACGGTGAGCAAAGATCAATAATATAGTTATTTCATACATCTCAGCCCCGCTAACTAGAGGAAGACGTCCAAACTTGAAATAGGGAAGTGAATTCCACACAAACCAGAATCACGAGCAATGACAACAGACACAAATCAAAACGTATACATATAGCACAAAACCGTCCTTGGGAAGAGTTTCCAAATCGCATATTAAAAGGTACAACAGACCAATGGCATTTAGGATTTTCCCAAGTAGGAAATACGACATGAAAGTGGAAAGAGCGCTTTTGGCGCGAAAACAAAGAAATTCAAATTTTCTAAATAAAATTACAAAATTAGGTCCATTTCTAAGTGAGTTCTGGGGATCTGACATCCCCAGAACATATATATAAGTTACGTAATTGGATAATAGAAAAAAGATTGTGATTATAAATATAAATAAATATTACAAATCATAAGTAAAGTATAATTAATTCAATTCATTTTACCTCTAAATCTTTCAATTCATTATTTAAATATTTCAGTACAGAATTACGTAATTTATTTTTTTGTTTTTCAGTTAAAGGATCATAATTTATTTGTCCACGATTATTCTAAATGGTAAAACAAGAAAAAGCGAAAAAATAGTGTCATATCAAAGCATTTATATATATGGAAATTAAAAAGTCAACTAGATAGGTTAAAGGTAAGAAATAATAGAACAATGAGAACATGGAGTTGATCTGAAAAATGTAATATATTTGCACAATACATTTCGAAATCAATCTGAATCAAGACTCTAATTTATGGACGAGTCAATCAGAGGCGTTTTGGAGATTTCAAGGTCAAGGCACCAACTTCAGTGCTTAGTGTTAACGTACGATGGGTTCATAGGGAATTTTGTACAAAACGTGACAACTGAGTGACTATAACAAATAAAACGGACGGACTATAATTTGTTGACGAACCAATCAGGTATAAGATAATAGATCACGGATTTTAATGCGAAAGCCCTTCATCCATTTGGCTAAACAAATTTCTGGCATTATAGCTGATGGCAGTTCGTGATGAAAACCCCATATACAATTCCTAACCAAGGCAAATTACGACATTTATTGCGAACTGGATAATAAAAGCAGCAGTAACATTGGCTGCAGCCAGGTACTACAATATATACGGATGTTTGGAGAGCGTACAGACTCCTACATAGGCTTGGTTATGTGCATCGTGTCGTTATCCACACGTAGCATTTTGTGCACTCAACAACAGAAGTACACGTAAACAATATTGAAGCTATATGGTCGAGACTGAAAGAGTTTTTGAGACTTTATCGTGGCTCCAGAGGCCGACTATTCTGTAGCCATACGGATGATTTCCTCTACCGTATGGATTACGATTTTAGAACCTCTGAACTTCTTTCTAACCTTGACAAGTTTTTGAACCACGTATAAGAAGTGTATCCACTTTATTTCCTTGGTTTTGTATAACATATTTTTACTCTATACTGACTGTATGCTAATTGGCTAATATTTCTCAAGATCGCTTAAGATTCGTTCAAAGGTCGTCCATAAATTAGAGTCTCGCCAAATCTGATCACACATAATGTACTTGTTAAGACACTTTTATGTGAAAATTAAAAGGTCAACTAGACAGGTTAGAGGTAAGAAATTTTTATATAAATATACTGAATAATAAACAAGATATATGTAATGAACGAGAACTCAAATGGAGACAACCAATTTATTCTTTAATACAAAATTATAGAGTTTGTTCGTAAATTTTGAAAACCATTCATTAAATACTTTATTTGTGAATCTTCTATCAATCGTCTTTTTTTTACATCTTTCATGATTCTTCCAATTCACAATTCGTTTCTGTTTACTTCAGTGCAATCTTCTTAAATTTCTTTTGACCTTGTATGATTTCTGGCAAAAGGTGTGTTAACTAATGAAGACTTATTTCATATTTACATCTTTTTCTCAGTAGCAAACAAAAAACTTTAAATATAAATTTTTTGTCAACTTTTGAAACTAAATTGGTATGTTAGTTAAATTTAATGAATTTTCATTAGATGATTTGGTTGTTCCAAAAAATAAACATAATATAATTAATGGAAAATTTCAATCAATCCATGGTCTTGTGCAACCCTTCATTCATTGCCTAAGGTGGGTATCTGTCTCATATCCAACACGGATTGAGATCCACTGGTCACAGCTGTCCAGCGCTTCCAGGTTTTCAACAGTGGTCAAGCTTAGATTGACTCATGATTTCATTTGTGAAAACACTACGATCTCTACAAATCCCCATAATAATCGAATTAATTTAAACCGCTACTGTTATTATTATTACTACCGGAGAATGGATATGATATTAATTTAGATAGTCATTTTCTCACTGTATACGTTTAAGCGTTAAACTCACAAAAATCTTGGTATACTTGGTAAACTAAAAGAATAATCACATTTAAAAAGTATGATTTCATGCATGGGATTGAGATTATTGTTAATAGTATTAATACTAGTGGTAGTAAGAAATGATTTCAATGATTCATATTTTTCATTATTTTTCATACATTATTGAGGTAAGGTTCACGAATTGAGTCATACAGATGCATGTACATACAAACACGTATACTTATATTACAATATGGACATTCAGACAAATATATAGACGGAAAGGTAGAAATATAAACAAATACATGTACTACATGATGACTAGATACCAAAGTACAATTTGATTCATTTCTAAAAATCAGAATTATATATTTTTGGGCCGAAAAATATAAATACAAGTATAAATATATACTACTTCTGATAAACCGATTTACTTCACAAATGTAATGAACTAAAGTACCGATCAAACAAAATCATATTGGGTATTCGAAAATGTCTGATAGACATCAAAATAAACCTGATTAACATGAATTTCATGTCAGTTAGAATTTTCATTAACCATGAGAAAATAAGTTATTATTTTAAAGATTAAGATTATTTGATGGGGAGATTACAAAATGGTCATGTCAACACTTTGTGTGATCACTATGCATTCATCGATTTCAGTATAGACCGGATATATTTGACTCCTTAGCATATATAATAAAAATTAGTACATTCATATTTAGTGTAATTCATTCGAAAATCTTTTAAAGATTAAATATATATATATATATATTTAAAAATATTTAACCGATCATATCTGAATTAAAAACTGAATTTTGAGACTTTATTCTGAGGATGATATTTTGTTTGCTAGCTTAGCTAGTGATATAAAGCCATCTGAAATTGTGACTCAGTAATTAAGGCACTCAGTTTTCGGCCGTTAGGTTATAGGTTTGAATTTCAGTCTATCAAATTTGGTTTGATCAGCCAGGTAGTGCTATTAGCCAACGCATATATAGTGTGGTTTGAAGTGTATCAATGTATACCTAGTAAATTAATCTGAAAGACTAAAGCATTTATCATCTTAAATAGACAGAACTTTAACTTAAAAACTGAGCTATAAAAGTTCTTGATGTAAAATGCTCAAATATCAATAGGTTAGTCATGATGATTTTGACAGATCTCAGTTATGTAAATTTTTATGTATAAAGGTGTTATAACTTGTTGCCTGAGTGCCCTGTTAATGTATAACGTGATGATACCACTAATTAGAGAACAGTGAATTATTGATCAGACCAATGACGCATAAAACGAGTACGAGCAGTCTGGAGTCCTTATCGGTCCTGCTTCCCTCCTAGCCCAGCCAGTTAAGTCCAGAACACCAATCTCAGCCTCTGCGATATGAATCATTTATTTCAAACATACTGGTTTTATATACCAACCAGACACACCACATCGTACCATAAAATAGGAAACAATATTTGTGCAAGATATAGCCAAATGTGGCTGTGAATGTGCGAGATAGTAATTGATGAACAGGGCATAACTCAAGAATGGTAAATTGTATAGTAATAGTTCATAGATCAAAATAAAGCTCATAATAAGAGGGACATGAATATGAATAGTTTAGTTATTTAACAATTATACGATAAAAGTATACGCATAGTATTGGTGCATAAATGAATCCCAGAAGTTACCATTCATTTTGCTTATCGGAACATAACAAAAAGCTTAAAAAATGGAATTAAAATTAGGCTATATTATATCTTAGTCGTCAGTGACTTTTCAAGCTTTTTTTTAAAAAAAATTTGGATTTTCAATTTTCAAATCTATCGGGATCAAAAAAACTTGATTTATAGTTTAAAATAGTTTACTAGTAAGTACTTTGTGTGGGAATTTATATATTTTCATGAATAATTTTCCCAATGCAAAGTAATGTTAGCAACCGAAGAATACGTTTCATATATGACTACGAATATGCAGTTGTCAGAAAGTCAAAAGCTAGAACAAAACAGTTGTTTAGTCCTCGTGTGTTTTTGAATTGTGTATTATATATAAATTATTTTCATTCAAACTATGCCTAGGTCACTCAATAAAAAAACGTTAGTAAATGGAAATTATATGGTCTCTTATGATTGGCTTTTTAATGATCTGTGTGATAGTTTGGTACTTATCAAATGAGGAGTTATATGTTAAGACATCGGTAAAACTGATCATGAGTCACATATTATATTTACCAAAATAGGATGTATGATCTAATGAATCCTGGTTGATCAATTTGAAGATATTTTGTTATTCATGGGACCATAAAAATTTTTGATCCAATATCATGTGCATTCGTGTGTTCTTTCAATAACTCTCGAAATAAAGTGGGAAAATTATTAAATTCTCTCCAATGAGTAATAAATTTCTAGGTTGTGTTACGTCATTACAGATCTCATACTGACGTTGTCCTCAATGTTTTCAATTTCTAATAAGTGTTCCATGTTTAACACTTCTGACCTTGCTTCCCCTCATCTAATGATTGTGTAATGTATATTAGAGTGTAAATTTCACTAGAACCTTTATTTAGACTTCCAATATTCTCCATATCTGTGATTATCGTCAAGCGAATTGGCCGGAGTTACACTAATCTGGTCATACCAGATAGTAGTGGATAACTTTAAACCTTCGAAATGAAATCTTCAGTAAATGTTACACTGCAATATGCAGCACTCACCCACTAAGTGAAATGTCTCAAAATGATGGATATAAGAGCTTTAGTAAACATTAAAAACGTTAAATACTTTCTTAGTCCGGAGGTAACTGATTAACTATGTATATTACTTCATATAATAATTTAGTAACTTGTTAGGTAATCTCAGCAATTTACAGTTTGTCAGTACTTTCTAACACTTGCACACCAATATATAAGTAGATTAATACATATGAAATATGCATTATATATCATCACATTTGGTAGACATTACAATATCGGTATTTTTACTATTTGACATAGCATGAACACGTAATTGTTATAATACATGCTTTAAACACTATCAGATTGATTCTGTATGTTAAAAGCTTGTAAATTACTTCCTACTTTGATTTGCATTTTTAATGTATAACATTGATGTTAATGTATATCTACCTCAGTGGAGCAGTAGTTGCTTTGGATAGCCAAAACATTATCAAGTCGCAGTATCAAGCCTCACAATACCTATTTTAATTTACACTATCTGTCTAGGCTGTAATTAATAGCCTACATATACATACACACACACAAACTATAGATAAAAGTCGAGTATGTAAGCTTCATTACTGAATTATACGAAGTAATTACTAGTTCGAAAACGTGACTGAGGTCATGCATATAAACTATGAGCAAAAGTATTACCAGATTGTTAAAATGAACTTCATCTGTAAATTGGTTCGAAGTACCAATTATATAACATGTAATGTTTTTGTTCTGTATCCATCTTTATTAAGCAATGCATGAATAGTTAGCAAAGAATTTATATTATTGGATGTGTATATCTAATTATATAAGTAAAAAATTCAGTTCTTACCAATGTATCATACATAAGTAATTCTCGAAGTAGGTTAGCATTGGAGTTTTGTAATTTTTTTATAATTGCCTATTAACAATTAACGTAAAAGAGAAATATACAATGTTAAGTCATCGAAAAATAGTTTATAATAATAGTTTACAAAACCAACTGATTCTAGTTAGATGATCATTCGATCATATCAAATGCGAGGCAGTTATCTATCAGTAACATTAGAAAATAGATGCGCAACCACTGGATACTACCTCAATGGTTCAAGGGTTAAATATTTTTGAGTTACATCTGACGGTTCTAGATTTGATTCTCGTTGTAGTAATAGAAATTCATCACTGAAGTGTCCCACACTAGTATGAAACATCTACCAAGTCCTCCCTCGTTTACAACAGTTATTTAACTAAGGTCAATCAGTCATGAACACTATGAAATTCAACAATCTTCGCAAACTCATTACAGTTAAAATTTGATGATTACATATTTTGTTATTTTCATTTATTCTTATTAGTTGAAATCTTTAATCAGCTTGTTGCATAAACACACACAATGTTTGTTGTATTTATATTTTCAACTACATAGTATCTCCAAGTTGGTCATGAAATAGATCTTCATATATAAAGATTATATATAATCTAACAATTCTTACATAATATCTACTCGAAGACTAGGTATGTATGCTTCAGTGTTGAAGTATACTAAAATTATTATGATGCTTAATTGTTAAATTTGTCATTCAAAATGACTCAATTATTTATCGGCAAGATAAATAAGTGTTAACGATCTTATGAGCAAAGATAGTTAGTAACTAGTAGTGGAATTCAGGACGCCCGTTTCGTCTCTTTATTAGAGTAGATCTTGTTTATCTGAGAAGTAAGAATTGTGAAAATAGGCGGGGTGAACGAAAATGAGTTTCAGTGCTGTTTAGCAATGTTCAGTAACTATGTCGCATACAATACACTCAGACATATTTTTTATACGTTTATTAAACAAATAATGTACATCAAAGCATAATTTCCATTGGAAATTTCATTTCAGTCATCTAAAGTTATCTAAAAGTGACTTCTGTTAACAAGTGCAAATCAGACTATCTGTTTGTTGTTCAAAGCTGGTAGTGTCATCGTTTAAACGAAGGTCATGAGTATGACTTTCGTAAATTTAATTCATTATAAGTAGACTCTAAAATCTAGTGATTCTTTTAAGTGGATTTACAGAAACTGAAGTCATAACAGTATTCAGTAGATACTCAGTGAATGTCAGCTGATGGTGATAGATGACTTTAAATTTTAAAATTCTTCCAAATAAAATGACAAGATACACTTTTTCGGGTTCGTTTCCCGCCTGTGGCATCATGGGTGTGCACTGCTGATGAGTCCCATCCTAAGACAAAACGAACTTCCGGTGCTTTCAGACTTTTAATGTTTTTTTTAACTCAGATCGATTCATGATTTCAATGAAGTTCAACTATTTTCACAACCTCAGACAGAAGTACATATTTTATGTATCTCAAAAACCTTTTTTATGAATGTAAAATTCAAGAAATTGGTTGCTAACTAAATGTCTTCCAATTGTAGAAAATCAATACTTCAATAAACAATCTTGAAAAATGCGGTAATGACCCTCTAAATGACAGTAAAAGGTATGAAATGTAATTACGTTTTCAAGTTAACGTTTTACAACATACCATAGAATCATGCATTTGATTGATTTCAGGTTTACTGGGTATCGACATAGCTCGACTTGCAAATCGCAAAGTGGATAACTACAAACAATTACAAATAAAATACATTAAAATAGATTTTTAAAAACATTTATTTGTACAAATCATTATATTCTGTTTGATAATACATAGCAGTTGAACAACGGAAGCTAATATATCCTCAGTAAGGAGCTCTCAACAGTAACAATATAGTATATTCAATAGGCATTTTTTCTGTCTCTATAATGTAGACCTCAACAATAGTATAACTAATCAAGCAAAGCTAAGAAAATTAAGAATTTCTTAAGAGTTATTTCATTTAAAGTCATTTTACAACACATGTATGTTTTCAATTATAGATAAATCATGACAAGTAAATTTAGTTCTAGATCCATAATTTGTTGCGTAATTACATCAAAACAATTTATTCACAAAATATAGCCAGCTTCACTGAGCGATTTCTGTCATCTTAACAAATGCTCACATAGAATCCAGTTATTTAAATGACGAATTGAACTAAAAAAGATCTGTCAGGATGATTTATTACATTTTGTGTGACATTCATTAAAATCAGAGATGACAATGGATGAGGAGAGTACTATTTAACAAACTATTGAAGTTTAATTTTCAGAAAACTACTGATATCCCTGTTAAATCTTTAGTCTGTAAAGTTAATCTTTTACTCCAGAATGACACATAAACGATTAAAAACATTATTTTTCTAATGATCCTTTCTTTCTTAGTTCACTGATTTATGATCCTATTCATAAAGCGCCCGTAAATTTATACTCAATAGGTATTCGATTGTATCTATCTTCTTTGATTTCTAGTAACAAACTATTCCTTAAGGATTCATGTTTTAGGTTGACTATGACTAGGAGAAACTGAAAGGCAATAAAGGTATCTAGTGTACCTGAAATACTGCAAAAAACCTTTGCCGTCTACTTCAATACATATTGCAAACTTAAAGTCTGGACCACTAGATTCTGTGTGCCGCATGATTTCTCACTAGTCGCTATAACTGAAAGATTTTTGGTTCAATCTCTTGAGATTCAAGTTGCTTGAAATGCTATAAACTAAAAAACGAGGACAGCACCTGCTCATTCCTTCCTGATTTTTTAATATTTCTTTGAATAACGTCAATAAATAGTGAACAGTGAGTTCCAAGAGAGGTTTATAAGAAAAAAAAGTATGAACATATTAAAAAGTGAACTAACGAAATCGTACAGTTTCTTTTAGAAACGTATTTTTATTCCATATATTAGCTATGAGAATAGTTTGACAACGACCTCCAATGCTATTTTTTAGAAAATGGGTTAATTTCGATTGTCGATATGGTATATAATCTCTTGTTGGATCAGATAACGCCAAAATTGTTTGCTCTAAAAATGCTAAAGAACGGTTAATGTAGGCAGATTCCTTGAATAGTTTGTCAGTAGTCTTAATTGAAAATAGAAAAAAGAACAATATTTTTTGTAATAAGTAATATTGAAAATAACAATCGAATTTATTTGTCATTATATGTATTTTAATTTTGATCTAATAATATCGAAAAGTAGATGAATTTTCAAGAGATATGTTGTCAGTAAAGTTCCAAATGCTGATTCTTCTGCTGTAATAACGTAACTAATGATAATGACAGTTGAATTATCAGCAAAACTAATAAACAATATCTGAATACGAATTATTTCTCAAAATTATGTGTGTCCATCACAACTGATTTTCATTTTATTCGAAAGTATTATAAAAGTGATCAACAAGATATGCTTTTAAACAACCATATAATCATTAAGTTAGTAAGATTCAAAATGATTTAATGTATTTCACTTGATTTTTTTCCTGGTTAGCGCTTTTTAGTGAGTTATTTTTCCACGGGATTGAGTTGCTAACCCCATGCCCAACCCCCCTCTTTATCCGGGATTGGGGCCGGCAGAAGCCCAAGAGGGGCACCAGGCGGCATGCCTAAGAAGATATTCAATATCGTACAGAATTCCTATGGTGGATTAAACTGCAAAATCATGCATGGAGGAGAGTTGACAAACTCGTTCGAAGTAAAGACCGGTGTCAGGCAAGGGTGCTTCTGATTAAATAGTAGTACAGATAAGGCATACATTAGTATTGGGTGACTAGATAGTCACATTTTTGCGGTTAGTATTCTTATTACTGAATTATTACTCTCTCCGTAACTATTTTCGCAAGCTAAACAATTTCACAACTTCATTTAATGCTTAATTGACCTGGTTGAACTCCATTGATAATGGCTTCTCACTAGAACTCCAGGAAATGCGCTCGCTCGCGAGACTGATAGGTCCTGGGTTCGAATTTCACGGGGGGCTGGATCGTGTGTGCGCACTGCTGAGGAGTCTCGTACTAGGACGAAACGGCCGTCCAATGTTTCCAGGTTTTCCATGGTGATCTAGTTTCAACTGACCCATGACCTCAACAACTGAAATAATAAAACAAATTTAACACATACACACGCAAACTCAAACATAAATGAATACTCTATGAGACCTGTGTTCTTTTTAAATTGTCTGAACCAGCTAAATCCACATAATGAATTTTACTGCATTTGATACATCCATTACTGTCCATTGAATCAATAATCGTTAAATAGACTGTAAATATAGCATGAGCACGTGATGAAAAACGATTTAATGAATGTGATGCAACAGTACGATTTAATTCCCCCTGTACAAATAATGGTATTTGGAAAATAAATAAATAAATTACTTTATTAGTTGTTCGAACGGAACATTTCAAATGAAAATATTCAGAAATTATTATGTCAACAAAGAAAGTTCTCATAACTGTAATAGATGAATCATTTATTATTTGCTGTAAAATACATAACTCAATAAGATAAAATATAACACAAAAGTAGTCATAACATCGATGATATACATTGACGTCTTTAAATAAGGAAACTAATCAGTACTTCTCTTTTCTCAACGAACCATATCAAATACTATTTTTGAAACTGAAAATTGTACAAATTCACTTAGTATTGTTTACTTGAATCTTTCTATTGATGTTCAAGATTGCGAGTGATTAGTTGCTTATTGGCACATGTGAATCCTGTGCGTAATACCTTGATATTGCCGATAACACGTGAATTTATACTTCACCTCATTGCACAAGCAAGCGGTTATCAGGATTCAGTAACTAAGTGGATAACGAAATGGTGTTTGAAGCGAATGGTACTGGGTTCGAGTCCCAGAGTGAACATCAACTCTGCGATGCAGGTACACGCAGTTGATGAGTCACAAATAGGAAGAAACGCGTGTTTTGTTTTCCACTGCCAGCCAGTATCCATCTTTCAATAGTTGAAACCATGAGTCGACTGAAGCTAGATCACCATTTAAAACCTGGAAGCACTGGATGGCCATTTCGTCCTAGTATAGGACTCCTCAGCAGTGCGCATCCATGATCCCGCCCCCCGCGAGATTCGAACCCAGGGCTCACTGTACACAATGGTGACGGTGGCGCAATTTCGTGGACTGGTTGAAGATAGACATTAATACCGTTGAATGCCAGCTCAGTAGCCTAATGGTTAAGCGCTTGCGCGCGAGACTGATAGGTCCTGGGTTCGAATCTCACGGGGGACGGGATCGTGTGTGCGCACTGCTGAGGAGTCCCATACTAGAACGAAACGGCCGTCCAGTGTTTCCAGGTTTCCCATGGTGGTCTAGCTTCAACTGACTCATGATTTCAACCTTTGAAATTATTAAAATCTCCACAAAACCCCTTCTGATAACAATCTATCTTTGCTGAAAATTGTACAGTTGTTATTATCAGTTTTAGAAGTTTTCATAAAAACAGTATAAAATAAAATAGTCAAACTGTACAGGCTTTGAACATTTATAAACGCATATAAAATTATATTTTTCAGAGGTTTATCAAGTTATATCAGTCAACCCATGGTAAAAACTATTGTCAGATTAGAACAATTATTCAAAAACACTTTATTTACTTATGACGTATATTTTAATATACCCAAATGTAGTAATAGAGACGTATCGACAAATTTCTTTCCTTTTTTATTTCAGATAGTATTTAAGTTGATAGTTTTAAGAGTTTCGCTAATGTTAAGATATCAGCTGAAGTAACATGGACTAAGTGAACTTCTTATCTTGTTCTATAATGAGAAATCTAATCATTTGAACTTTATTAAACTTACTAACGGCATTATCATGATGCAAATATGCCGGTAGAAACTGATTACATTCAGTCCTTGTTATTGGTAAACAGAAAATTTAATAACCTGACATATGGCTTCATGTCTATGAAAGACAGTAACAGTCATCTGAACTCAGTAGTTCGATGAACAACCCATTGGTATTTGTAACAAAAGGATGTGAGTTCAGATAAAAATTCGTGTAAACACTAACATGGGTGTACATGTACATCCTGATGATAAGTTCCAAATAGGACAAAACGCGTGTGCTGGTTTCTACTGTTAGCCCCAATTCAAATTTAGTGGACTTTGTGACTAAACAACATGTCACTACGATTCACTCAGAATGCACATATATTAAAAGAAACTGATCAAAATACGGTACTGAAAGTCTGCAGCGGAGAATTGCAAAATCTCACTGATTATCTTTATAGTAAGAAAATAATTTTCATTACGGCCTAGTAAGAATTGGGAAGAACTATGAAACTGTTGAACAAATATCTCTATTAGTATGGAGAAATTGGTAGTAATTGTAGAATTTTCGTAGTTTAAACCCCGAACTGATCGAAGCTAGATCACTGTTGAAAACCTGGTAGCACTGGACGGCGGTTTAATCCTAGTGCTGGACTCCCTAACAGTACACATTAACGACCACTCAGCCGAGTAAATATTTGACTCCTGGAGTCCTAGTGAGAAGTCATAACCAGTGGACTTCAACCGCGTCAGATTTGAGGAAGTTACCCACCAAAGATCAGTCAGTCAGTAACAACGTAGAACTTCGTACGTACGTACATCAGTTCGAGTTGCCACACCACATTAACACAGAGATGCACTTGTCGATTCAAATCCCGTAGTGATAGAGGTAATAAGAGTATAAGCAGTAATCGGGAAGATTAGGGTTTGGAGATGTTATTTAAAGAGTATAATCCAGTGAAATAAATTTGGAAAGAGGAAAAAAGGGACATGAAGAATTCAGAAGATTAGAGTTTGGGAGAACACAGAGAGTGGATGCACCTGCGCCATTGCAAACGATTTTGAGCCATGTCATTCAGGGTCTCTAACCATCGGTTGCTGTCATCTCGCGGTCCCCAACCAGGTAGTCTACACTTACCAACATGACTCAGTTCACTTGTCAGTGACTTCATGGACTTGTGCCATGTTTTGGTTTGGCCGCCCCTAGCTTTCTTCCAACCTACTCCTATACCACTGAACATAGCACGTCCCCCCCAAAGATAATGAATAAGGATTGCGTAATATCGTGAATCGAGTGAATGATAGCATGATATCATTTATATGAAACTTTACTTGACTACTGGGTTACCTTAGACAAGTAAGTATTTTACTACATCAAATACCAACAGATTTAAAATTATCATTATGGGACTTTAGAGATTATTGAGTTCATGAATCAACCAATACTAGACCACCATTAAAAACCTGGAAGCACTGGACGTCTGTTTTGTCCTAGTATAAAACTTCAGCAGTGCGCACTCATGGCTCTACTAGAGAGACTTTAATCCAGGACCTTCGGTCTTGTGCGCAAACTCTTCACTTCCATACCGCTGAGTCAGCATCCAATGATGTTAATGTCTAACTTCGACAAAGTAACACTGTTTAACTCATTGTGTTAAGAAATTTACCACTATAAAAGTTCTTTGTTAAGACTAAAGTGAGAAATATCCAACATTTTGGCATTAATCGTTTCTTCTATGAACACTAAATCCAAATGCTAAATACTAACACTTTTTTATTCTCTCAAAAACTATTACCGGGAAGATCATAATATTTTTTATTAATTTTTATCTAAAATTTAAAAAACTGTGACTTAAGTAATAGTATGATGTGTGTTACTGATGTCGACAGATGTAAGTAACAAGTATTACCAATCGAAAGTGGAATGCTTAAAGGCGGAAGGTTGAGAACATTGAAGAGAAGAGAACGAGAACAGCAAGTGGTTGATATAGAAATGAAGGAAGAATGAAGTTTGAGAGAATTGACAGACATGTTACAAATGAAGTATATGCTGTATGGTTTTTAGATTTTACAAAGAGATTCTATAATAATGAATTCTATTACATTTGGTTGTCCCAACTATTGTTCTCATACACTACATTAGTAATGACACAAAGTAAAAGTCTAAAAGTCAATCTATCCAATTTTCAGTCAAGGAAATTGTTTATAATTTAAGAAAATAAAGGTCATACATTAAAACAACAACTTACCTCAAACAATACAGTCAATGCTTCTTCTAAATTATTTACAGTTAAGCAATTTAATCCTTTAATATAAACTTGATCATTTGATTCAGCAATTTGTAAAAACTCAAAAGAAGATCGTTTGAATGTTGTTTTGTCCAAAGATATACCGGCTAATAAGTCAATAATTTGTTCATTATATATTTCAATATAAGACAGTCTAAAATGAAATGTATAATCTTGTTGTAAAGATAAATAAAAGACTTTACGGCATTCGAACTATGTCAGTAAAAATACGTATTAGTTAGTATTTTAAGTGTTTATAACTTGTTATCTAGAAATGTATTGATAAGAGTACTTCATACATTAATAGTTTAAATAGTAAAAAACATGTAATAAAACACGGTTATATATATGTATATTATAAAAGCTTTGTGATATTCTCCACTTATTTATTCCGATCAGACTACCAGTCAAAACAGTGAAGCATTAGATAGTTGTTATATGTTTAAATCAAACCCCTCAGCGGTGAAAACCCATAACAATGCTATCAATCTTAGCTAAAACTTCCAAGTTTAGCGAATAACTCTTTATCATTAGCCAAATGAGTTAGAGAAAACGGTAGATTTTACCCCACTTAACCAATTTTTAACATAGCATGTAATTGACAGAAAGATAAATGTCCATGTTTTAATGTCATTTAAATATTGTTATAGTTGCATTGGTTGAAAATTATATATCTATTTCCTTGTTAAACTTAAAAGGATGAAATCTATTTTTAACCTACTGTAGGTTAAACAATGTATAGATATTAATCTACAACTTATTTTCTTCCATTTCATATTCCTTACTCGGTAGAATTCTTTGTTTTTTCTTTCCACTCTCCAAATACTCACACATACTACTACTGTGCTGCGTGCTACTTATATTGACATAAGTAGTATATATTGAGAGTCAGGAATGTAATGTTTGGCAGCAGAAGATTGAGAAGATGAAGAAAGGAAGAACGAGAATAGAAAGCAATTATTATAGAAATGCAAGAACAATGAAGTTTGAGACAGTTGTTGAACATTTTGCAAATTAGGTATTATAGTATGGTTTTTCCATTTTACCAAGTAACTTTTGATTATTACCCCGAAGAAGTTCAGACAAGTTAGCTGGATGGAACGTCGGAATTATTTGAATCTCAATTGCTGCGATTATTTCAAATATAATTCTCACATGTAATAACTCTGTAATGTTGTATTAAGTATAATTCGGTTGTCCTCACCTGTGTTCTTCTTCACAACACTACTAACTAGTTACAAGGTAACATATAGATGTCACTTCATAATGTCTTATTGTTAAAATTATTTTCAAATCAAAATATCACAGTGAACAGAGCTATCACGAAATACTATTGCCATGTTATAGAAATAAAGACAAAAAAAAGGAAAACAGATATGGTTTGTTGGATAGCTAACATTTTAATACTTAAGGAATAAACAGTTTATATTTTGTTATTTTTTAACTATACTTAAAATGTCAGGTTTGAAAAGAAGAAATCATTCACATGAACGTCATAAAGCACAAAATCCGTTATGTCATGATCGTATTACTAAAGAATAATAATGCAAGTGTTACGCATTGGAATATATAAAATGATCACAAAAATAACAAAATACAATTAGACACTGGACAAATATTATTGATAATTGATATAATGTAATTAGTCAAACGTTAATCATTCAGAAAAATATTTTATTCAAAGACGATTACTGGTGATTTATTTCAAATGGTCATTCCAGGAGTTATACTGAGGAACCATGACCAGTAGAGTTCAATGATATAGAATGTAAAGTAGTTACCTATGGATTACATTAGAAGATCGTTGCATAGTATCAAGAATTGAATGAAGTTTAACATGTCGGCTAAATGGTCTAGAGGTGAAGGGCTAAAATCCTGAATTTGGCCCCAGATAAGGTTGTAGATATGAACAGCTGAGGAGTATCATGCTAGGACAAATCAGCTGTCCAGTACATTCTGGTTTTCAGCGTTCCTTTAAATAGCATAAGTCTGTGATGTAAATTATTCAAAGAAAGTCCCCACAATGAAAAGATTAATTAGCTTTTATATAAAAAACTGTTGAAAAGTTATTTACTTCACAGTAATAGAAAGTGTTGATCTTTTCTGTATTTCCTCAAATAAATGCCCAATACTTCGTGGTATGATTCCACGATCATTATATATTTGTGATAAACCACTCATTGTGTATGTTTTTCCAGCTCCTATTTGTCCATAACATAATATGGTTCCTGAAGTTAAATATCAAGAATGTTTCATTTGCAACACAGTAATTAAAGTATATGACTTAATCAAAATTTAGTAATATGATATACTAATTTTAGCCAAGATATCTTTAAAAACACTAAGTAGATAGATGAAAACGTTGGATTGTATTAACATGAAAAGACGTGGAAAGTGTAGCTCAACTGTGTAGTGTGTGAGGCAGTTATCCACCGAAGACAACAGAAAATAGTTGCTCAATGTCACGAATTGCTTGGAGTTGTGTATTACCATCGTTGAATGCTGGCTCAGTGGTCTAGAGGTCAAGTGTTCTTTTGAGACTGAAGGTCCTGGGTTCAAGTCCCTAGTACAGAGTTGTGAGTACGCACTGCTGAAGAGTCCCATACTGGGGCGAAACAGCCGTGCTTCTAGGTTTTCAATGGTGATCTAAAATTGATCAATTCATAATCACAATGAACACTCGAAAATCTCCACATCTTCTTTACTAATATAAGAAAAAAACGTAATTCACATCAAATAATATTGATTTCATAAGCTAGATGTGACTAGTGTAGTGATCAATTTCGAGGTGGATCCGTCAAAGTTCACGTGGTGTCAGACTAAACAAGAAACGTTGACGTTCTGAGACCGATTTCATGTAAAAGTAATAAGTGCATGTTGTAAAACGCTCTCTCAGTTTTTTCTGGTTGCTAGTGTTTCTGTAAAACATGACTTCACAATGAAAATTACCATTATTAAATAATATCTGTAAGCCTAGAAGATCCATTTGAAACTAATTTTACACAAATAATTGACAAACACAAACAAGAAGAGCTGTAGTTCTCCATATAATATAGAACAACATTTAATAACTTGACTAGTTAGCAATACATTTTACTTTGGACATCGACATACTAAGCTCTATCTATGTAATATCATATTACAGATAATTGATTGCTGGATAATCATAAAGTATGTCACCATAGTCAATGCAAGTTCATATCTAAAATGATTTTTCTTTTACGTCTGACAAATGATTGTAGGTTTACTTCTTTGTTTTATCTCTGTATCTAAAAGATGCACATAAATACATTTTACTTTTAAAAATTAAGTTCAACAATGTTATAGTAAAGTAGTTTAGGTTGGTTTCATTTTATTTTGGACTAGATAACTGAATATATTTACATTCCATTGTTGACATTTTCAACTAGACGTCAAATGTTGCAGTCATTATCAAATATGCTATCAAGTTATGATAGTTATCAATTCATTCATTAGATATGACATTCATTATTGATTGTAAGCGTTGAAATGTTTGAACTATTGTAATTTACAAATGAATTTCAATAGTCTCTGTTGAATTATAAGTTTTCTTACCAACAAGGACTGAATGAAAATAAGGAAAAAATGTAGACTTATAATTCATAGCTATTTGTCAATACACTTATTTCATAAATGATTATACTTTGAATTAGTCTGACAAACTATGAATATAAATCATTGTTCCAATCTACGTTGTAGATCATATTTCTCAAGAACTAATAAAATTACGAATATTCATCCAATTCAATACTCAATAATGTAGCGCTACTAAACAATAAACAGAAATATAAAAGTAAATCTTTATAAGAGAAATGGTAATTAATCTTTAGTAACCCATAGAAGGTATACGAATCATTGCATTTCATCGTTTTCTTACTACAACACAAGTTGTCACAGAAATCAAATTAATTACTACCATTGTATACCGGCTCATTGGTCAAGTGGTTAAGCATTTGAGAGCGATACCAAAGCTCCTGGGTTCGAATCTCGCTAGCGGGATTGTGGATGAGCACTGCTGAAGAGTCCCATACTAGGACGAAATGGCCATCCTATGCTTCCAGGTTTTCAATAATCATCTAACATCAATCTGAATCGAAAATTTAATAATCTCCACAACTCGATATTGATAATAAATTATCATTATTACATCATTGTAAACGTTATCATAACATCGATATTGAAAACCTTTTACAAAAAATAAAATATTATTATTTTACATATAAGTAGTAAATAAAATATATAGTAAATAATTTACCATTAATTCCAATTAATGCATCATTAATTAAATGACTTGCTGTTATTTGATAAATTTCTTCTTGGGAATTATGATAGAAAATTTTATTAAATTTATAATTCATAGCCAATATTTGATGATTAACAGGTACAATAGTTTTAAATTGATGAGTGTCAATCCGTACAGTCTATTGCGTTAAGAAAACAACAACAAAAATAAGTAATGTAAAAGTATATAATTGATTAATTGAATGTACATGTTTTTTTGTTTATTACTGAAAAAGAATAGAAAATTATGCACTTAAAATATACATTTTTTCTCATTAATGAAGTAGTTCACACGAATTCTTCTATGATAATTAGTTAGTATAAGCAAATATGGATAGTGGCTAGCAGTAGAATCTATAACACGTGTTTCGTCCTATTTGGGACTTGTCAACTGGATGTACCTGCATCTCATAGTTGATGTTCACTCCAGGACTCGAAACCAGTACCATTCAATTCAGACACCATCTCGTTATCCATTCAGTTCCTGAGTCCTTATAGAGCGTTTGAAGCGAAAGGTACTGGGTTCGAGTCCCAGAGTGAACATTAACTATGGGATGTAGGTACATCTAGTCGACAAGTACCAAATAGGGCAAAACACGTGGCCTGGATTCCACTGCTAGCCACTATTCATATTTGCTTATAATGCTTGTAGATTAAGGCAATATCGAGACAGTTCACACAGGATGCAAATATACCAACAAGAAATTGATCAATTGTAGTCCTTAACAACAATGGGAAGATACAAGTAAACAATACCAAGTGAATTTATTAGTTAGTATTTACAAATTAAAAGCTAATGTATAGATTACTGTTTACAACTTGATGTTAGATAGGGAACACTATTGAAAATTAAAAGTACAGTGAATTATTGTTTTAGCCTTTTGAACAATAGATAATTACTGAATTCAAATGTAATCTAAAACACAATACCTCCAAGTATTGTGACAAATATTTCTATTATGACATAGTTTACATAAAATCAAATGAACTATAGTTTTCCATTTTGCTAAATTCACAATGAGTTCCAACAATTTTTTAGCTTTGACTTCATTAGGCCAAACATGTTAAATATTTTCATCGGTATTTCATATAGCTTATCTAGATGATAATTCGTTATGAATACTATGCTTATTATAAAACAAGATAGTAGGCATAGATCCAGTGAGTATGTCATCAAAATTTTCAATTACCAATGCTTTTTCATAAAAGATTAAATCATGATGAAAATTGTTAATAACGCAGGATCAGGCACATATATGCATCGGTCTAAGTTGCCATACCTCATTAACACAACAAGATGAACACCGGATTCATAAAAGTAGTTAATTCAATGATAGTAATATACAGAAGAAAGATTGCATATAAAGATATAATACAGGAAGAAAGAATTAGTTCATAGAAAGAATGATATGATATGGTTTTGGTCTCATAGTTTAAGGGAAGACAAAGAGTGTATACACCCACACCATTGTGATCGATTCTGAGCCATGTCACCAAGAGTCTCCAACCACTGGTTACGATAGTCACGCGGACCGCAATCAAGTAGTCTGCATCTAACAACATGGCTCAAACTAGAAGTTATTGACTTCAGGCACTGATGCCATGTTTTGGTTTGGCCGCCCCTAACTTAATTCCAACCATCCCCAACACTAGTCAGCATTGCGCGTAGTGGTAATCGGTGTTCGGACATAAGTAACACGTGGCCCAACCATCTCAGCCGATGAGGATTCACAACCTCATCAACTGGTTTACAATCATTCCCTAATACTCTGTCTAACCTCACTACTACTTACTCGGCGATCCCAGCAGATGTGAGCAATTTTTTAAAGACATCAATGAGAAAATACTAATAAACTTGCGAGTATCCCCCACCCTTAATAGTCAGGTATTGCAGCTGTAAAGTAAAACAGAACAAACTGATGAGTAGTATGCACGACTCTTAATTGGTAGACAGATATCTCGCCTTCGCCATAGGTGACGTAAGTTGGCAAAAGCCAATCGAGCTTTCTGAATCCATGCTGCGATTTCGTCAGAAACCAACCTATTAGGACTGATCAGACTTCCGGCATAAGTGAAGTTGTTGACGAGTTCGACTACTTCACTCCCTATCCATAGTTCAGGTATTGACGCAGGTCATGATGATGTTACTGTAAACTTATTGATTCAATAATATTTCTGCACTACTTATGATGTAGAACTGTTTAAAAAATTTCCTTAGTCTCAAGTAAAAAAAGGAACCTAAAACAACATCACAATAACAGTGTTACTTAAAGCAGATTTTTCCTCATTTGTACAAATAGTAGAGAATAAAAATGGGAAATTTGTGATAGATAGTTGGTCACCACTTAACTGTTGAAACCTCCAAGTTCAATTATAAAAGCGATTGTTCTAGTCTGAGACGTAGTTCACTGTTATTCATACCTCCCTCATGATCCTTCTTTAGAACTGCTTAGTGGTTATCTCTAAGTTATTTCAAGGACCACTGTGTCATAATTTTTTCTTTTACAACCCAGAAAGTCAGTCAGTAGTCTAACATATTCAAGGAAATTTCACTGGTATACAGTTTTAAGAAGTTCCAAAAATATATAAAAAAGACCAAATCTCCTGTGATTTACAATTACTGTCTAAATAGTAGGAATTTGTTGTCCAAATTATCTTCAAGTTCAGTAGGAATTCATACTTAATCTTTGCTGATTTACTGTGACAGAAGATTATAGCTAAAAATTTTGCCGATCCAGTTATTGAATAAATTATTAGTATAATGGTATAAAATACTCAGAAAGGGCATCCTTGAACTTCAAAATGTGATTTTTATGTTATGCGCGAAGTATAATATCATTTAGCTAGGGCTAAATAGTAACAAACCTATCACTGTAATAAGGATTCTTGATTACATCTAAAGATTTCATTTGATCTTATATAACTTTACTAATTTTGCATACTTATGGATATATATATATGGATATATTTACTGTGATATCTAGGGAGAGAAACCTATCAGAGCACTATAAGTCAAGAATTCTACCCCACAATACTGAATAAAGACGTATGTTATAACCAACAAACTTAGAATTTATTGTTATAAATTGTTCAATATCAGTCATGTCATGGCATTGCTTGATCATCATCAGATGTAATCTGTGTTAGTTCATTCAATAACCTACAAGCTTAGACAGTCAGTGGAATAGAAGTTTATTACTTTTTGGGTTTTGGTGAGCTTTCCATCTAAAATCTTCGTATAAGCGATTTTATTATGCTATTTTTCGTCATTTTATTTTTAAACATTTAAACGATAGATGAACTTCAAGAAAGTGGTTTACTATTGTAAGTTAGCTGTAATACACTGACACGGACAAAAACACACACCAAATATTTATTAGACTTAGATACTCTTTACTGATGGTTTAAACGAATAGGGTACATTTGTAAACACTCAATTGTATGATCCTTGGCGTATTTTGTAATGAAACTTCTTTGATACTAATTGTTTTATTGTTTATAAATGTAATGAGAGATATACTTCCCATTTTACCAATGCCTTATCAGTTTTCTTTAATGTTGAACCTGGGATTAAAACATCAATGTCCAAACTGATTATTTGATCAACTATGTTTGCTTCGTATTATTACGGTTGTCAAAGTAACTGTTATTTTCAAACCTAAATTTTATGACTTTAGTTTTATTATTACTTAGCATGATAGGTAAATTGTCCCGAGAAATCTCATCAACCACTAACTTGCTACTAGAATCCATTTTTTAATTAATTATCTAGATCACTTTACATTTAGAAATTCTAAAAGAAACGCTAAATTATTTAGCTTACAAAGTTAAACTACTAATGAGTAGCCAAAACGAATTTCAGTTATTAATACCAATTGGAAGTAGACAAAAGATATTATAAGTTGGGTCCAACGAGTTCTTTCGTCTCAGAAATTCAGGTGGATGTTTCAAAAACAGGACTAGAATTGTGCTAAAGGATGTGATTCAAACAACGACCACTAGAAATGAATCATGTCTTGAGTATATCCATACAATGAGTCCTCATTACCTTTGCTACTTTCCAAAACTTACTTTTTGGCCTCCAAATTTAAAATTCTCTTAATGACAACTGAAATTTTTATTTCAAGATTGATTATATTAAAATCTTTAGGTTTTGAATAAATAATGAAAAATTCAACGCGTTTTCAAAGAGCCGTTTCCTGAATTTCGCTTGAAGAAGTTTACAAACGTTTCTTGAAATGTATGTTTCACGTCAAATCACTACTTTATAATCTCCTAATTCAAGGAAAGATAGGCCCTGACTTTTTTGCCTAGCATCACATCAGAAAATTTGACAATCCAAAGAAGTTTATACGAGAAAAATTTAGGAGACTTAACTTCGATATAAAAATGATAATATTTTGTGAATAGAAGAACAATACAGTAATAACTATAGTTAATTATTCACTTAAAAATTTCGTAGCAACGAATGGAGAACGTATTTATTGTAATGAGCAGTGCTTATTGCGATCACAAATTTATCTAAGTTGGCCGATCATAAGAAACGTGGTGGCATCGAGTAACGTTCTCGTCCTAGTATGGAACTCCTTAGCAGTACACATTCACTGACCCTATGCAGAAGATCAAGCTAAGGAACTATGGTATCGTCAGTGAATGATTGACCTCCATACCACTGAGGCAGAATATAGTGGTTTGCAAGTCCAAGTTCAATCATTCTATAATATTACGCAACCATCTTCCACTTTTTTCAACGAGTACCCTCATCAAACTACACATGGTTGAACACCACAAGTCAGGTATGGCTGTGATTAGATGCATATATCATATAGATGAATGTAACTTCATTTTCTTCAAGTCGCATGTCATTTACTACCTAACAATAAACTCTGTTGATTTCATCTAATACTTTAATCTGAGCAACTACAAGCCCAAGTAGTCTTAAGTGGCCCGTCATTTAGATGTAAATTAGATCGGACGATGTTGTCGAGAGGCTCAACACTTTGGTGGTCTGGTATCTGACTCCAGTTTGATCATATGTTGATCGCTATTGGATGAGTGCTTTCAAAATATATACGTCGCCTATCCTCGTATATAATTATCGACTTAGATCACATTAAGGAATAACGGAATTAAATAATTCAAATACGAGAATGGATTTCGAATACATATATTTTGTACAATCGCCGATCCAGACAGACGAAGCAAAGAGAAGACAGCAAAGCAGAACGATGTGCAGCAATAGTGAGGTTAGACACAGGGTATTAGGGAATGATTGTAAATCAGTTGATGAGGTTGTGAATCCTCATCGGCTGAGATGGTTGGGCCACGTGTTACTTATGTCCGAACACCGATTACCACTACGCGCAATGCTGACTAGTGTTGGGGATGGTTGGAATTAAGTTAGGGGCGGCCAAACCAAAACATGGCATCAGTGCCTGAAGTCAATAACTTCTAGTTTGAGCCATGTTGTTAGATGCAGACTACTTGATTGCGGTCCGCGTGACTATCGTAACCAGTGGTTGGAGACTCTTGGTGACATGGCTCAGAATCGATCACAATGGTGTGGGTGTATACACTCTTTGTCTTCCCTTAAACTATGAGACCAAAACCATATCATATCATTCTTTCTATGAACTAATTCTTTCTTCCTGTATTATATCTTTATATGCAATCTTTCTTCTGTATATTACTATCATTGAATTAACTACTTTTATGAATCCGGTGTTCATCTTGTTGTGTTAATGAGGTATGGCAACTTAGACCGATGCATATATGTGCCTGGTCCTACATTGCATCTTACTGACTACCCGACAGTGGAGAAAGCATGTAAGCCAACTCCATTTGGTCAAGAGTTAGTCAATATTCATTGTCAAAAAAAATAAGCTATAGACATTTTGTGATTAGGATAAGAACTACACACACATACGCTTACATAAGAACAGTCGAGATTGATAAGCGAACAATTAACAAGGCCAAAATGTGACTCAAATAGAATGAATGGATTGGCCTGTCCAAAATCTAGAATAAGATATATAGTTCTAACATAACCGACACTACAATTCTCATAACGATGAATAAATCTCGTGACGATGAAGAGAAAATAAGGACAGTTGTATCAGTACAATACTTCAAGATGTGTTATTTCAAAAACTCTATCATAAATCTGTTGCTTTTGGATTACACCTAATTTCCAAGTTCTTGTGAAAGAAAAGAATAGCTTAATTGTTCTATCGAATTGATTTGTTAGGTAGACAGGGGTATTTAGCATAAACAAAAGTTTAAACATTCAAAGGCTATTATTTAAAATAATATGTTTATACAGTTAAAGGCTACTTTGCGATAATCAGAATGCTATAAATTGGTTATTATTAGCCTCCAGAAAATTCGAATGGGTTAATTTTGCACTTGGGAAATATTGTCATGATATGATAACTGGGAATCTAATCTTATAGGTTTTCATGTGACGGTTTTAATCATAAAAATTGCTGACCAGTGCCGAATAAGTTACTTGAATGTATGTCACCAGTTGAATATTATGTACAACTGTGACAGTCTTACTTCATTTAGGATACAATTCAGTCAACAATGTAAAAGTTTTGTTATCGCATTTTCATCTATCTCGTAAATGAGGTTTACTTTTGTCAGTATTCATTTTCTTTGGTCTCTTCAAGCACATGTTTGTACCCTATTAATTGTTCCAGAATCCTTTACTATAATATATATACTGGAAATAATTTTGTCTATCAACTTCTGCTTGGGATCCTAAAACAATGCAGTATTTAATAAATGGGTCACACAATCAACAAATACTCAAAACCTTTGAAAAGTCATATTCACGTGCATGTGCTGCCCTTCCACCTTTTTATTTGATCTATTTTAATTAGGGAAGGTTGCTAAACATTGCAGAATCGCACCAACAGATAAAATTATAAGTAAGATATGATGCTGGGTATTTCATTACGCTATCTTTCGTTTGGTAAGAATAATTAGTACGATCGACAATTAGTAGTGGAAGTGAATCCTGAAAGTAATAATTATGGAACAGCAGTGGATCGAATCGAAAATTAGACGACACTAACTACTTTCACTTAAATTATTCAATACCTCTAACTCTCATGCTTATTATTCGCATAAGTGATTTTCGTTTGTCCAGAGTCAAATATGTTTGCTCTTCTCAGGACCCTTCCACATGGTTTTTAATTACTATCTGCATTTTAAACTACAGTTCGATATGCAGACAATTCCATCACATTTATTGGTTCTTGTGTACTTAAACTTCACTTAAATGAAGGACAGTGTGTAGAAACGATAAAACTTTCAAGCTATTCAAACAAACTACTTGTGTGGCCTTGACGATTATAAATGTAAATAAATACTGGTGAATACATCATGAACACTCAGAAAACGGGGTGTCCTTTGACACAAGTATGTGTAACCATGCTTCATAATCGTACAATAACGCCAGAGTCTACTACAGCAGCTCTCATATTATTTCAATGTCTACGGCTTTATTGTAAGGATTAATGATATGTGTGTTGGTATTACAGTCCACTTAACGGCATTAGGTGTGCAATTGCTCAGCCAGTACATATATACTCCGAGTAATATAGGTTTGCTTAGATCCCCGTAAATCAACTACAATGACTGTAGCAGATGGGTCCACGGTTTGGTGCTTGCCCTATACACTTGACTTAATGTGAAATTTATATGAAGAGCTAACTGGTTATTTTAGTTCCTTTTCACTGCTATATCGTTAAATATCACCAAAACTTACACTATTACCCTATTTTTTTCAACATAATTCAGTAATATATGATAATTAATCAATTAAAACGTCACTAATTAAGTATACAGATATCATGCCCAAAATGACTTGCCCCTTGGCCTTCTTTAATTACCTCTGGAAACCAACTTTTAACCGCAAACTAGTGAAGTCTTTTGCCCGATAGCAATCTATTGGGAGACTAGATATCAATAGTGCTTCTGGTTGTGGCAACTAATATGTGAAGTTTTATTATTCTTGATAATAACTGCAGTAAAAGTGTTTTTTGCAATGAACCATTGATTATGTCACAGGTATTCAGTGTTTGACAACGCTTCAACCAGTAACACCTTCTAATGTATTTCGTTCCCGCCCAGAGAAATCAAAAGACAGAGTCGAGGAGATCGGAAGAGTGTAAATAAAATAAGGGTCGTAAACGGGAAAATAAACTATAATTCAGTTAATTTAACGTTAGAAAAAGGTAAGCGAAGAAATATTCATTCGACTTCCTTACATTACATAGATCTACAATCCTTATTTGGTTGTTCCTGATGGATGAAATATTTCAAGATTGTCATTAAATTATCAATCTGCTCGTAATCAGGATAATATGACAAATCGTTGCTGGTCTTACTAAGTACAGTGATTTCTCTGTGAATAAATTTCAACTAGATCAAACTAAAACGTGACTAGTGCGAAAAATTTCCAAACTTTATACTCCTTTTACACTGACCAGCAAGATAGCCCCTTAATAAAATAGGAATAACATTACGATTTCAACCTATTTTTCACTTTATTTAATCCGTAAAACTCTATTTTATACGACTTTGAACAGCATTTCGCTCAGCCTAGTTACAAATCAGAGGCCGGGTTCACAAAACTGCAGTGCGTATTAATTATAAATATATCTGTGCAAAAAAATAGTGGATATCTCCTATTGTTGTCTACATTATTCGGAATTAACATAGAACTAGGAGATTGAGTGGATGTGTATCTGCACACGTGGGTAATCCACCTACCGAACATTTGTTTTTAGACAGAAATACCGGCATGGATCTTCCTGATTACCTGATCATCCTCTAAATACAGGATTTCTTTGAGGTTAAGATGGGAAGATGGCTTTACTCTAAGGAATATTGTGACTGGCATTCGAAAATTTTTAATGACCTTAAACCAATGGCAACGTGACCTTGGCTCTTCGGGTAGTTCGAATGGTTACGAAAAAAAAAGTAGAAGCCTTCCATAGTTGAAGTCATGAGTCATTTGAGGTTAGACCACTATGGAAAACCTGCAAGCACTGAACGGCCATATTGTATTAGTATGGGACTCCTCAGCAGTGCACATTCACGATCCCGCCCCTTATGAGAAACTCGTTTAACATGCTTTCGTCGTATTGTATTTGAGGATTCTTGGTTCTTTCCTTGTGTGTGTTGGAACCTACCGGTGCAAAGGCCACTACTACACTAGACGCTACACAGAAGAAGCAGAAAGGAGGAGAGTAAGAGGCACTGTCTGACTCAAGCCCTTAGTTGGAATGTGTCTGTCGGCAGTCCCCCAGGCACGACTTTGCAGTGTAGTCCACCGCATGAATTCTATATGATGTTGACGATTTTCTCAGCTACACACTACGTAGTGACAATCAAGGTTCCATAAGGTTTTCCTATCCACATTGTCAAACACAGTCTAACAGTCAAGCAAATTGATGTGTAGTGACGAGTTCCATTCAGTTGATTGTTCAACAATGATCCGTAGTGTTGCGATTTGGTCTTTGCTCGACCAATCCTCACGGAATCCGGTCTGTTGACCTCGACGTTGGGCATCTACTGAGTCTGTCATCCAGTTCAGCAAGACTTTATTGAAAAAGTTTCCTGGCACTGACAGTAGTGTGATTCCTCTATAGTTCTCACATTTGCTCTGATCTCCTGTCTTTGCTACCTTGATGAGGTGTCCTTCTTTCTAGTTTTCCGGCACTTGTCCTTCCTCCCAAATCTTTCTGAATAGAATGTTGAAGATGGCACAGGTATTCAGTGTTTGGCAACGCTTTTACCAGTAACACCTTATAATATAACTCGTACCCACCAAGAGAAATCAAAAGACAGAATCGAGGAGACCAGAAGTTGTATTTGACGATAGCCAATATATCGGAATTGTCTGATCTAGTCTGGCTAGCGATTGCAGTAGATGTTGAGCACGGCGTTACCACACGTGATCTGGTGCGGATGCATGACCGAGCGCCTTCAGCTATCACAATTCTCCTGAAAGAAGACCCTTCGACTCTGAGGGCAGAGTATGAACGGTTTGAATAGTCCATCCTGCTTAGTATTTTTTGACAAGATTATTTCTGACGGAGTGGGGTTACTGACACCATGCCCAACCCTCTCCCGCTGTGTGGGTTTGAGACCGCTGGTAACCCTAGATCTACAGGCTGCGTTAAAGAAATTCGGCAGTGGCTTAAAAAATTGAAACTACAATTAGATATATATACCACCCGTTTCACCCAGAATCCAAAGCTCAATCGGGTATGCTGCTCAGGGATTGGTAAGAGCAACTTTACACCCAAGGCAAAGTTATAAGTTATGCTACGAAATCGTGTATGTTAATGGCTTTTAATACCTAATCACTCAGAACATCCGGAAAGAATTTTACTTTGATATTCAGTGTTCATTGTTTGGTGATTATAAAACTGATTGTCATTGTTCCACTTATGTTTTAAGTCATACGGACAACACAGTTTACTGTGAGTACAGTCTTTTATGACGCCCCTCACGTCCGGCAAGGCTGGATGAATAAAATGTTCATAAGCTCTGATATTTCCATTCAACCACAGGACGATTACAGCCAAGGATTCAATAGCTATAGTCATTAGTGTCATTTTCACCATATTAATGTGTTCACTGATGAGTTTTCGTCACACATGTGATTTGCTAGTAAGGGGGCGACTTTTGTTCAATTAATATTCAGAAACACAACTAGAACCAAATTTTCTCTATGTTTGATCAGTACAGAATTACGAAAGTATGTTGTTGTGTCTCTTTGAAATCTTACGCCTGACTTTCTAGATAATCGAGCATACAGAAATGGTGTATCACTATTCCATTATCCCTCAAGACTAAAGGTAATTAGTAAACAAATTATGTTCAATATATTAAGGAAGTTGTTCATCACTTTTAATTTTCAGCAGTAATTTATTAATGTAACGATGGTAAAATGTTATTTGGCTAGTTGCATCCACAGAGAGTCTATTTTTCATTTGAGGCATAGATATTCCAAAACACGTAAAAGATGGAAATGTGTGCCGGGAACTGTAGTCTTTCAGGTGTCCTTGGAGCCACGCAGTTTGGCTAGTGCTTTTGTGAGATACTGGTGGAATCTTCTCGTATTTGCTGTTTATTTCAAGTGGTTCAAATGGTTCTCCATGAAATAGAGGTAGCTTTTGCTTTACCAGCTACCGTATCTAGTAGCAGCGGACCACCGATGTCTTCGGCTAGGGAATTAGGTATATTTAACGATAAAAAAAAGATCAACGGGTTATGGTGCAATATTATCTTGACTTCCTAGAGATATGTGAGGTTTTCTCTTGAAGGACTCCTAATAAGTCTTTTGGACCATATCAGGCGGAGGCAAATTCCAGAATTTGACTACTCGTAGGGATTAAATGGTTTCTCAACAGTCGATTCTGCCATGGTAGGTCCCACATCTCTAATTAATATCCTTAAGATTCGTGTTGCGACTGAGCTCAAATAGGTGATTGGAGGGGTAAACAGGAGTGTTTAGGATGCCAGAGGTCATTAGAAAGTCGCATTTGATACGCCTATATTCTAGTGAGTAAAGGTTCAGTGATTTGATAATCTCTTCATAAGGTTTGAATTCGAGTTCTCGAACTGAGTTCGTGGCTCGGCGTTGGATACGTTCCAGTCTATTTTTATCCATTTGGAGTGACGGAGGAAGCACTAAATTTTTGTACTGTAAATGAGATCTTATAGAACTTTCGAAGATTAAGTGGAATGTTCTGTCAAAATGATCATAACGTGCTTCAACCTTACCAGTGCAACGTTTGCACGAAAGGCATTTTTTCACAGTTAGCGTAAGTCTTCAGATCGTAGGGAGCCAACACTTCCGAATCTTTTTCCAAAGTGGAATACCCATAGAGGGGAGTCTTAAAAGTTTATCCACGACAATCTGTTTGCTACTAGACTGCTTTCACCCGAAGCTGGCTTCATATCTGACATAAAACTCCCGACCCCAAACTGGACAAAAAACACCGACTTCAGTAAAGCTCTTACTGTTACGTTCAAGTTTTTGCTCGCTTCCATTGTTGATGTACGGTATATCGATCTATTAGCAAGTTATGGACCCAAATTAACAAAAGAACCAAACTCTAAGTTACGTACCAAAGTTTACTCACAATTTACAAATAGTCTATCCAAATGCCACAAAAAAGTACATTTTGGTCTCCCACTACGCTGATTTTTGGAAACACATCAGTGCTTATCATAGTAATTGTATAGCCGCTGATGTGCAACAAGAAGTGTTGATCGAGAGTGGTTTTTGAATTAAATCGTCCGAAATCACAGTTATGATATCAGTCTCTGCTAGCCCTCCCAGTCATCAATGAAACTACGAGGAAAACCGATTTTCCCAGAGTCTATCTCATGATTCAACCCATTCTTAGCTTTTAAGGAGGATGTAGTTTGTTCTGTAATTGGGATGTAAGGAGTATCGCTGCTAATGACGCATGTCGATTTCAATGATAGTTTTCAGAGTTTACAATTCTTTATACATCATTATAATATTTTTTGTGCTAGCAAAGCTACTTGAGTTGATGAAAACCATTAGTGAACTCAAAATCAAAGTATCGGATATTATTTGTTAGAATATTCCAATGACGCTTGTTTAAGTGGGTCATTCAAGGATGAAGCTTGTGAGGTGAGTGGAGTGTTTTGTCGTTGTTTTGCATCTAGTTATCTAGATGCTTAGGCAGACGTTGGCTGGTTATGTCAGATAGTTTTAAATAACCAGAAGTGAAGTAGATATGCCTAACTGACTAAAAGCAGTGGTTTCCCAATTAAATGGCTACAGAACTACTAATTGGAAACTTCTTAAGTGATTTGATCCCTCTTTTATAAATAGAGACAGGTTTTTCATAATTAGGCCTCCATCTGAATTCACAATAGAATTTTCCGGTTTGGATTCAAACGTCAGCACTATTAGATATACCATTGACGTAAGATTCTTATTGTTGCTGGTTTGACCTCGCACTGTTACTCCAAGCCATCCACAAAATCGATCCTTAAATTCGAGTAAGAATTTCGTTTGCTTTTCTCTTATGTGGCTGGACGCATTTTTATGCGTTTTATCCGTAATCTCATCACAGAGTGCGCTCAAACGTCTGTGAAATATAGTCTCACCAAACCTTCAAACTGCTTCCTGTGAATCGCTTTGAGACTGGACTGCATTTAGTCGATTGTTCGATTATAACGTAAGGTCCTCGTGACAGTATAAAATCCATCTCAATGCATGCTGATGGTTTAGGGTTAATAAAGCATAAAAACCTTACTAGATATGGCTGTATTTCCTCTCAAGTATTCAGCCTTAAAATCAAGTTGTACCGGTCGTTTTCCTACCATGGGATTAATCCCTCTACAAACTCCAATCGTCATGCTAGAGACCTAGTTAGGTAACATGGCTTTTCTGGTGAGTAAGTTTCGTACCTCTGACTACCATCCAATTCTCAGAGCATAGAACATTTTTAGACTGGAAGATATTTGTATCACAGTCGAGTAATTAAGTTTGCTTATGTTGTAGTATCTAGTTCATAAACTCTTTTGACATTGCGAAGAGGTTAATAAAATTGGCAGTTTGCAGTTGACTGTAGACGAATCAACTTACGCACCCTATGTCAAATCGGTTAACAGGTTTCCTTAGCCAGTACCCTAGAATCTCGTATCATTGATGTATGCTGAAACACGCATACAGGATCCACTTTTTTCAACGAGTACCCTCATCAAACTACACATGGTTGAACACCACAAGTCAGGTATGGCTGTGATTAGATGCATATATCATATAGATGAATGTAACTTCATTTTCTTCAAGTCGCATGTCATTTACTACCTAACAATAAACTCTGTTGATTTCATCTAATACTT